GTTTTTTACACCGTAATAATGGTTGTCAAATAGAAACATGTATAACGGCGGATCATTTGGAGCACTAGAGGTTTGAAATACATTTAGATTTTCTTTCTCAGTTCTGTAAAACACTACAATTTTACGTCGAGTCACCTCTTCGAATTTTTGTATGTGCGTAAAACACACTGGCGTATGCTCGGTTAGACTCACTTGTCTCTGAAACTCACATCCTTTCTGCTCCGCCTTATCATCTCTCATTTCAGGAAATATGAGATGCGCAAGGTTGATTGCGAAGCAAAGCTGGTTATCTCGATTTTCAACCATGTACAGACATTTCTGCTTCTTCTGAACTATTTCACAATTTAAGGTTTGTCTCAGCAAGCGCTTAGAGCCACCCCCGCCGTTAGGATTGGCAACTATCTGTACAACCAGCTCCAGACTCCCGTCGACAAAGCCATCTCCAGTTGATGAGTAATTGCTAACTGGTCTATTTTCTTTTGGTCTTCAAGTTAAAATAAATGAACTAAACACTAACAATTACAACCTCAAGTAGCTCTGGCTATGCCATGCTGTCTTTAGCTCCTTTTACACTGCCAATTCAAGGTGGGATTATTGTGCCAATTTTCCACCACACCATTCTCCAAGTCACCGTGGGTGTTCAGAGTAGAAACACCTTGGAGAAGGGAAATGAGCGTATTCAGCATATCCAACCTGCAGTAAAACACAGCAAATACAAAATACACACACTTCAAAAAGAACTATGCAGTCAGCAGGACAGACTTTCTACTGTTCCTATTACTTGTTGCATCAGTTTATAGTAGGAGACTAGATTTTCACTTTTAGTTGGAGGTTGGTAAAAAAAAAAAAGCCTAGCAATAAGTTTAAGCTTCTCCCATCAGTTAATAATAATCACTTTTATTGGCCAAGTAAGTTACACACACAAGGAATTTGTTTCCGGTACAGAACCGAGGCAGCCATCTGCAGCATCAACTCAACCGATGGCTCTAACTATTGGGGGAAACTTGGGGGTTCAGTGTCTTGCCCAAGGACACTGACGTGTGGACTGCAGGCACCAAGATTCGAACCTCCGACCCTCTGGTTGGGAGAAAGCGTCTAATTGTTCAAAATGAGCTGCGTTTACGAGTCTGTCTCGCGGAGGTGTATTTTGCTGGTTTTCTAAATGG